AGCATCATGATGCTGGTGTGGTTCTTCACAGAAAGAATGGTTCAAGGCTCGTTTGCAGCCTTTATGTGGAAAGATGTTCGTCCTTTTCCTGCCATGTCAAAGTTATTCTATAATCGACTTATCTTAATTCTTATCTTCCATATTACTGAGTGTGCTGCCAAGAACAACTGGTGAAGTCATTACCAGTTGGAACCTTTAACCTGTAACAGCCTTTCCCCCTGTGAAGGGAACAAAGAGCACCAAACCCAGCGCCAAATCTGTAGAAAGGAGGAGGATCTGGAGCGTAACCATTTCAATAAACACCGGGAACTGCACTGGACTGGACCTGCTGATTCATTGTCTGTGAAAATAAACTCTACTTTTTGCTTTTGCTTTAACCCTGAAATTTTAGGCATGTAGCTCTTAATTATATCTTTTAGAATTAGTTAATTTCTTTCTATTAATGTAATCCTTTATTTAAATATCTAGTCATCGAGAAATATGTGACTAATTACTTTTTCTTTGCATGGTTAACGCCTACCCTCTCTGCCTGATTTTTAAGAGAAACCTCACAGAACCATCCTGGTTTCCATGCAAACCTCACCTCAGCTGTTGATTGGAGATTGTCTCTACCGACCTTGAACAGGATTCAGCAGGTATGCATGAATGTATGGATATGAAAGCACTTTTCCACAGATTTAGAAAAACTTTACTGACAAAGTAAATACTTTCTCTAATATAGTGTAACTTAACCAGGTTTACAAATTAGATTTCTATTTACAAAACCTTGGTGAAAAATTTACCCCTTTCACATAAACATACTATATACAAGACATTTAAAGCTAAAGGGAGCCTAGATTTACTTAAAGATACCTGTGTATCATTTTAAAAATAACCAAAACACACAAGCAGCAGCATTTAGTTGTCCCTAGTGCATAATCTTTATATCTTTAAAAAGATGCTGATGGATTGAGACAATTCACTAGGGCTGCAACTAAAGATTATTTTGCAAATTGGTTATTCTGTCAAAAAATTTTTTGGACCAGTCGATTCATAATCAGATAGCCAAAGGTTCCTTAAAGACGATTTTTTTTTTTACGAAATAAACCAGGGGAAACTAAAACGTTGCACAATTCTGAACAGAGCAGGTTGACAGATGAAAACGTTTTTTTCCTTCATAAATGCAAAATTATACTGCATTTTTTTACGATCTTGGTATCATTGCTGCTCTAAGTGGGCCTCACTGTCAGCTAAAGGCACATTTTACAGTCTCTCTACTCCAGTTAACAATTGGTCGATTACTAAATAGTTTATTATTTCAATAATCGATTAATATGATTGTTTCAACCCTACAATTCACCATTAAACACAGATCTTAAAACTTATTCAGGTATTTAGACTATTAAAGCTGGAAATTATCAAACCTCTCTACAACATTAAACCCATCTGCAGTTATTTTCAGACATTTTTGCAATAGCTTCTCTTTTATGACAGTAGAGCATTAGTTGCAGAGGAAAACTGAATTATGAAGTATCTGAGGGTCAATAAAAAAATGTATTTTTTCTTGCCCATTTTAGATGTAAATTAGTTAAACTTATATAAAGAACACATAATTGTCATGATCTTGGCGCTGATGGTTTGGTTTTTTCCTTTGCTCCTTGCTCAACTGTCTAATTGGTTCTGCGGCTGATTATCGCTGATCATTTCCACCTGGTTACTCTACTATTTAAGTTGTGAGTTTGCCTCCCATCAGCGGCAGGTTATTCGTGTGTTTTTGTGAGACGTTCCCTAGCATTCTGTAGTCTGCCTGTTTTCCTGATTTTGATCAGTTTTCTGCCCTGAGGACTTCGAGTTTTCTGCCTTGCCTCTGTCTGCTCTGTTTGTCCTTTCTGATCCTGGATTCTACCGGCTTCTGAACTTGGAACTGTCTCCTGACTTCGGCCTTGGATTTCCCCTCTGAACTCTGCTGCTCGCTCTCTAGGAACTCCGGGGGCGTGGCCGCCACAACAGCGGTCAAAGCTCCGCGAACGGACTGAACTTTGAATCAGGTCAGTGACTTTGCTCCAAGTCGTGTTAAGCTCCATATCCAGTCACTGACCTGTATTCTCCCATTTCTGCAGAGATCCGCCCCGCAGCACACGAGCAGCCCTGCGCACCTGTTTTGTTTAAACGCTTTGAACTTTCCCACTGCCTGTCTCGCCTTGAATTCTGGGTGGGAAAGTTCAAAGCGTTTAAACAAAACAGGTGATCAGGGCTGCTCGTGTGCTGCGGGTGGATCTCTGCAGAAATGGGAGAATACAGGTCAGAGATTGGATATGGAGCTTAACACGACTTGGAGCAAAGTCACTGACCTGATTCAAAGTTCAGTCCGTTCGCGGAGCTTTGACCGCTGTTGCGGCGGTCGACGCCCCCAGAGTTCCTAGAGAGCGAGCAGCAGAGGCCGAGCAGCAACAGAGTCCAGAGGGGAAATCCAAGGCCGAAGTCAGGAGACAGTTCCAGGTTCAGAAGCCGGTAGAATCCAGGATCAGAAAGGACAAACAGAGCAGACAGGGGCAAGGCAAAAACTCGAAATCCTCAGGGCAGAAAACAGGTCAAAATCAGGAAAACAGGCAGACTACAGAATACTAGGGAACGTCTCACAAAAACACACGAATAACCTGGCGCTGATAGGAGGTAAACACACAACTTAAATAGTAGAGGACCAGGTGGAAATGATCAGCGATAATCAGCCGCAGAACCAATTAGACAGCTGAGCAAGGAGCAAAGGAAAAAACCAAACCATCAGCGCCGAGATCATGACAATATTTTCAGATTTCATTCTCATTCCACTCTCTTATCTTCCCTAACCAATCACCTTTACTGCAGCAACTGTAAATAAGGTTGTTTTAATTTTCCTATTTAGCTGGTAAATGTTATTTTTGCTGTCGTTAAGGTCATCCTCTCTGAGTCTATAACTTTACTAAAGTCAGGAACATCATAGCTCAGGGAAGTCTTCTTTTACACCAGAGCCTCAGCTTTAGTGCACCATCGAAGTTTGATGCAGCCCCCATAATAATAAAGTTAAACCCATAAATCATTGAGCGTGCAGAAGCATGTTTAGTAGAAAAAACTTCAACAAATTAAACAATATCCCCCTTTTCCCTAAACAATCACCGGCTTTTATCTGTAGCAGCTTTTTTTTTTTTTACTTTCCTTCCTGTTTTATGTAAGGCAATTTGAATTGTCTTATCAGTAAAATGTTCTCTTGCCCTTTGCTATCGTTTCTATTGCCAGAGGTTTCATTGTTTGTTCAGATCTGACATTGCACTTTTTTCTCTCAATATTCCCAAAGTTAAACTCATATTGTATCCAAGAAATGTAAGGAAGGAATAAGGAGTCTGAGATAGAGCTCTTAGGTTAGATTAGATTTATTAAGTTTATGATATATTTGTAAAAAAAATAAAATAAAAATAATCCAATTTATATTCACAAATGAACTCTGGGTATAGTTCTGTAAGGTCAGTTGCATCTCCACAGTTTACACAAAAGTTGATTCAGAAAATTATTACCATTACTCATTGTTTCATTATTCTATCAGAACTGATTATTTTATATAAAAAGCTGAAATCAATAAACAATAATAAAGTTATGACTACCTTAAAGATAATTTTTTATCAAGAAATAGAAACATTTTGTTTTTTGTTCAGCTTCTTTAGAGGAAATGAATCCCCTTTAAACACTCCGGTTGAAATATTAAAATAATTTCAAATAAGTGTGATCAAGTCAAATTCACAGCTTAATAGTTATTATAAACAAAATGAATGGTGGCCAAAGAATTATGATTTTCCTGTTAGAAGCTATAATTGGGATTTTGTTTGGGGCGTGTCACCCTGTAAGTGAGTTCTGAAGAACTCCTGGATCTTCTTCCAGAGGTGGACTTCAGCTGCAGCATGGGACCTGGGCTCACCCCCCCACAGAACAGGTCTACCTGCAACTCCATGAAAGCTGGAGGGGCAATACGGTCCATACGGGGGCTCCAAGTAGTGTCCAGCTCCAGGATAGCTCAGATACTCAAAGTTCTCCTTCCCATGATGAATCAGCCTCTCCATCATGTCGTCCATGTAGGCCTTGCTGTCCCAGTTGAGATCATCCTCTGAAGCTACGAAAAGGAAACATCCACTCGCTCGTTCGATGGGCACCAGGCTTGCCTTGTTTTCCTCTGCCAGAGGATCATGCATTGCGTATTTGGTGATAATGGCTCCTGACTCGGTGGAAATGACTTTGTTAGGGTCAAACATTAATGCTGGAAGAATCTGTATTTTCTTGTAGTACAGGGGTAAGGCTGTATTAGCGGAGCAGCCATTGATCCAGACGACAGCTTTAACTCCTGTAAGGTAAGATGCTACTGACAGAGCAAGATCTCCACTTTTAGAAAGGGATAAAACACCAACTCCTTTACTGTCCGCCTGAGGGAAAAACAGGCAAGGTCAACGTAAAATACTTTGAATATTTCCAGTAATACAATATTTTAAAATCATCTAGATGCAACACACTGCAAAAACGATCTAGAAATAAGTCAACATTTCCTAAATTAAATGTATTTACCCTTAATTTACATTGGTAAAGAAGTTTACCAATGGAAGGAATATTTTTACACCTAAAATCAGAGAATATCCACTTTAGATAAAACAATGCAATTGTTTCTTCTTATTTTAAATGTAATTGTCTTGTTTCCATTGGCAGAATTTCTAACTTACCTCCTCAATTCAAGAAAAAATACACTTATTTTAAGAAAAAATTACTTATTTAGATTTAAATGCAGTGTAAAGAGTCATCAGGGATCAAAGTTTGAGTATTTTAATGACTCACCTTCTTATGTTTTTGTAAAAAGTTAAGTGTTTCTTCAAAATAATCCAGATGAACTTCTTTAATGTTCCTGGGCATGTCATCGTGGCCGTACAGAGCCACAGTCAGGACCAGGAATCCTCGGCTGGCCAGCAGAGCCGCTCTTTTCTCCGACAGACCTCCACCAAACGTATACAGATCCAGAAGAGCAGGGAACGGCCCTTCTCCTAGGGAAAATAACAACGCAATTTATTAAACTTTAATTTTTTTCTAAGTAGGTTCATAATACCTTCTCTAATTACATGTTATAGCAGGAATGGATAAAAATGGACCAATCAGATTTTTGCAGCCAAATACAAAAATGTCATTGTCATATAAAACTCCTGTAGATTCTAATACTAAATGATACACTTTTCAACAGTTGAACATTAGCTGCCATCTGCATAATGGATGTGGACCTTAATTTCAAAACCATGATATTTCCTGATACATAGAGATAAAGAGCTCAAAAGAATAAAGCAAAGCAACTTTTCTGTTATCTCTTTAACTTGATCGTCTCTTGAAATCTGAACGAGCCTCTAGTTTTGCTTCAATTGACCATCTAATTGTCACTCCTAAAGTAAATCAATTAATAGGAACGCGGCCATTAATAAATGATTTTAAATGAAAAAGGATGAGGTGGTTTTTTCAGTCGTTTTAAAATTAGTTCAGAATCACAATGGAAAATAGTTTTCCATCTCGTTATTAACAACTAGATGTCACTCGTGGTGAAAAAGATGAAGAACAGGGGAGGAAGCTGCTGCATAACATAAATTTATTAGAGAAGATTTGAATAAAAAAAAACAAAAATAATTAAAAATTGTTTCAAATTGTCAGATTTAAACAGGATATAACTGATTTTATCTGTGGGAGGTACAATAGTATAAGCATAAATATACAGCAGTATAAATTCGGAGATATCGCTCGCAAAGATGTTCTGGTCCAACTTATTAAGGAGAAGTTGTTCATGAAGTCCTGATCTTTGAAGTTTTTTTTTCCTTTTCAAAGGGCTTTGATCGATTAGGAGGCAGGCTTTTATTGTCTCGGTCTCTAAATTTGAAACTTAGCCTTCCCCACCTTGGGTTGGATTTTCAGGAGGAGCCATCATGAAGACAATCTCAAACAGTCCACCAAGAAGATTTCTAACATTTTAGAACTGAAGAGAACCCAAACTTTCCCTAATAAGTCACTAATCCTGCCGCCTTTTGACTAAAATCACATCAGAGTTTCGTGTTTCCAAACAAATAATTTTAAATCATGCACTATTTCTTGGTGCGTTTTTAGAAATGAAGTGGAAAAACAAACCTGTGGGAGTAAAGAGGACCCCTCGAATGTTTCCCTCTTTGACCGGAACCCGGCTGACCCCATCTCCCATCAGAAGCCTCTCATTGGTTGCCTCTGCCAGTATCTGTCCCTCCTCTTCATGCACAGAGAAGTTCACTACATGGGGGTTTAAGGAGTTGGTCTTCTGAAACCTTTTGTGCAGGACATCTGGCCTCATGGACCACAGCAGACCCATGGGCTCCACCCCAACGTAGCTACCACTGGAAGAAGAGTCTCTGTTCAGGTCGATTTCCCCGCTGTTATCCGCTCTGTAGGTGGCCGATGAGCTGAACACCACTCCTTTCTCATCTGTGGAGCTGGCTCTCATGGTGACCACCTGCTTGGACCTCAGCCCGGCCACCTTCACCTGGATGGGCTCATCGAACAGACACCTGGCGCTGGGCAGCAGCCTCAGCCTGACTTGACTGGACATCTCTACTGGGACAAAGGAAACAAAAACACTTTTCTTACTCAATTTTTACATCATTTACATGTTTTGTAAAAAAAAAAATATATATATATATATACAACATTTTACAATACATCTTTGCAAAGGAATCTTTTATTTGACTGCAAATGAGTCTCTAAGAGCATGTTTAATGGAAAAAGTAGTAAGATTTAAAAAGTATTAACTTGTTTATTTAATATATCACACAGGTCAAAGTTTTCAGCATTAAATAAGGCTTAGAAATACTGAGCCTTAACTCAAATAGGTCACTATAAACGGGCCACAGCTACAATCTAGCATTGTTAGCCCCAAACTGGGTTAAAAATAAATAAAAGCAAATTCAAGTCACGGTCTTTTTGATCATATTCATAAAATAGCTCGTGTTGTTAAAACAGCAAGACGTTAGCAGCCGTACCTTAGCTAATTTACGCCAAAATCCAGGGACTTTTTAAAGAAAAAAATAAACATATATGTATTTTAGCTAACTGTTTTGTCCAAAAGACGTCATTAACCTGTTTACATACAGAAACCTTCAACTTCTGCTTATTCTGTTCATTAATGGCGGTTAGTGAGCATCTTATAGGTGCGCATTACCTCCCCCTGCTGGATAGGAGTGGAATCAGAATTTAAAGCGAACAACACATTCTATAATTATAGGCGTCAAAAGTATAAATATTTATTATTCAAATTAAAGTATAAATCCTACTGTTTAAAAATACTTTTGTAGAAGTTAGAGTATCGACCACATCTAATTACTCAAGTAAAAATGTACAAGTACAATTTTTAAAATTGCTTAAAGTATAAAAATAAATGTAATGCAGGAAAAAATGTTAAAGATAGAAGCTTTACTGCACTAGCATATTAAATTAACATTTTCCACAATTCTGGATGACAATTTGCTAATAAATATCTTATTAGTTTTATAACTAATGGCAACAGTGTCAGATTTAACTTTGATTCATCTTTGAAACATATTTATATGTGGCAAGTTGGTGCATTATCTGGATGAAACTAATTATTTTCATAGATTTTATTTCCTTCAAATACCAACAGGCCATAAGTAAAATTAGCTTTAATTAAACAAAACTAACAAGTGTGTGTGTGTTTTTATAATGTAAGGAGAAGAAAATAGAGATAATTGCGAAAAAAAAAAGAAAAGAAAAAGGAGAAGAAAAAGTTGTATAAAAATAATTACTCCAGTAAAGTATAGAACATTTAAATTTGTGTTGCTTGACTCTGTCTGGAATAACAAAAGCGACTCCTACACTCAACTGACTTTTTGACGCATCAGTAAATATCTGGATTATTTTTCTCAATAACCGATAAATTCACTCCTACCAATGCTTCCTCTCTTTAGTTTACAGAGCTGCAAATCTACAGGCATTATCTTCTTTGCACTGAATACTTTTTTTATGGCAATGACCTTGAGGCTGGATTAGTTTCTTCCTAATAAAATCAGGCCCTAGCATCAGTGCTTAGGAACGTTGCTTATTGTTTGGTATTGTTAAATATTCAACATATTAAATAAAAAAATATTGCTGCTTTATTTTTATTTGCATTACTGTCATTACAACAGCTTTAAACTGTTTTATTAGCAATATAAGCCTGCCTTAACCAGTGATGGTGATTATGGCTCAGTTTTTACTTTAATTTACTATTTTAGGTGTTATTAAAGTAAAAACTTAAAAGGTCTGGCGTGTGAACAGTTTCCTAATACATGCATTTATTTTTTTCCTTTTATTTTATTTTTCCATTCTGCATTTTTGTACCCTGCCCAGCAGATGGCGTCCTAGCCAGCTGATTTTTGCCGCCTTTTGGCAAAGCCAGGGGCCCTGCATATAGGGCTGTACAAAAGTATTCACACCTCTTTTTAATGCTCTGTTTTATATCCATCACAAACCTTTTTAATTTTAAATGACAGAAGAAAATGTAGTGCATAGCAGGCAGTTTTAAAAAAAAGTTTAACTTTTTGTTATTAAGTTCTGGAAAGTGTATTTTTGTCTTTGCCCCTACTTTTATTATTTAGTCCCTTAATAAAATCCATGTAAACAGCCTTTGTCAGCCATCCTCTCATTAGTAAACAGGCTGTTTGTAAAGAGTGTGCATACTGTCTGAAAGCAGAAAAAAGTACAAAACTACAGCAAACCTACCAAAACGTAAGACTAGTCTTTCAAATTTCCTTTCTTTTCTCAGAGTCCCAAAAATAACATCTTTCTTAGAGAATTCAGGTAAGTTTGGAGTTTTGGGGAAAACCCAGTAGTGCACATCATCCCACAAAGTTTGCAAAACATAGATTCATTGAAAAGATGTTCAGTTGATTCAATGTCACCGTCGCAAAATAAACAAGTGTTATCATCAATGGCAAATCGAAGTCAAAGAAATTCCTTAGAGGGGTAAACACCTGTAAAGATTTTAAAGTGGACTTCCTTTGGTTTTGGAGGAATGGGAAGATTTAAATAATTTATTCAAATTTTAACTCTTTCAGACTTGGAGAAGAAATGCAGTATAAAATTTGGGTTTAATACAAAAGGAAACAAAGTACTAGTAAAGCATTCCCTAATTTTTGAGCTTTTATTTTTTATTTTTTTGTTTATTATCTGTGATACTGTGCCCATTAATCAGAAGTCCAGGTAGCACAGAGGTTCTGTATACAGGGTTCTCATAAAAACCTTTAGCTGTGCATAAAATATTTGGGGGAATAGCTCTAATAATGTTTTGAAATTCACTTTTGGTTATCTGCAAGTTATATTTAATACTGAAGTCTTCATAAGACATAATCCCTCCATTATTTAACAAATGCATGACAGACCAAACACCTTGTTCTAGCCAATTAAGTGCAAAGATTCATTTATTAATCACTTTTATGTAAAGGCAATTCCACAAGGGAGTATTGTGTGGGCTGTAGTTATGTTTATAGATTAATCTCCAATATAATAAAATCTACTGGTGAAAGAAGGAAAGTTTAACGGGTAGCTTTTTTATATCAAAGTCACATCTAAGAAGAAAACTAATTCCGCCCAGGTTTGAAAATATTTTACTTGGAATATAGAACCATAATTGATTTTGATTCATTAAAAAAGACCGAAGCCAATTAATTTTCAAATTGCCATTCATGCTGTCAAATTCAATAGCTTGTAGTCCTCCATCTTCAAATTTTTTAATTAAATTACCTTTTTTGATATTGTCGTGGGAAAAAAGTATTCAACTATTCGTCCTAGTTAAATAAACGGAGATCAGTGGATTTCACTCAGTTGGCACATTTATTCATATCTTTGCAAAGAGAGAACAGTTCATCATACAGCCTTAAAGGCACAGCATTCTTCTCTGTTCAGATCTGGACAGCGTTCGTTCCCCCTTACTTACAACAATGGAAAGTAGTCAAAGTCAAAACAAATTACACACACTTTGGTTAACAGTAACATGTGAGGAATAAACCTTGAGAAAGAATCTGATTTGTTATGGGAAAAAGCTATGTCTGGTCTACAAACACCAGCCTGGAGAGAAATGTGTGGCCTTGAAAGAGAAACAGACTGAGTGAAAACTTTTAGAGTGAGTAAATATGATAAATTAATATATAATAGAAGAAAGATAAACATTTTTCGACAACAATATAGTGAGTTTTTTGTTTCCATATAAAGTCAAAATTCATCCTGTTGATAGATTTGATTGCTCTGATATATCACAAACTGATATATCAGAGTTTTTTTTTGTTTTGTTTAGTAATGGTAGTTCAAAGTATGATTTAAATCTCTTTATTTAAAAGGTTGAAAGGATTTCCCATTTCTCAGATTTTTACAGCATCTATATCAGTTTTCTGTTGTAATAATGACCCCATATTCTAAATGTAAAAATAGAAAATTCAGACTATCAACTCATCATTGACTGATTTTCATAGCTTTGATGCTTAAAGGCTGAGATTATTTTTTTGTAGCATAAGTTTGACTTTATAATAGTGCATTTAAGAACCTAAATCTTATGTCAAAGGTCAAAAACATTAACCATATCTCAGACTTGCTTGGTTTTTATCTGATTATGCTTTTTTATTTCATAAGTGTTACTTCATAACTTCTTAAGACTGAGAAGTAAATTTTCAGAATTACGGTGAATTGGCTTTAATACATTTAGCTTGTTGTTAGAAACATAACGTAAGAGACTTTGTATAATAAAAAAAACAGCTATGTGGTAGAGTTCTTTATAATAACTTTGAAATTATGTTTCTTGTTTTGCCATTCTTTTTTATATTATGATATCCAACTGAAAATGTGTTTTGTCTTAATCTCAGAAAGTATGTCGGCCCAAGTCAGGCTGAGGCTGCTGCCCAGCGTCAGGTGTTTGTTCGACGAGCCCATCCAGGTGAAGGTGGCCGGTCTGAGGTCCAAGCAGGTGGTCACCATGAGAGCCAGCTCCACTGACGAGAGAGGATTGGTGTTCAATTCTTCTGCAAGCTACCGGGCAGATGATAGAGGGGAGATTGACCTGAAAAGAGACG